CCGACGCAGCTACCTGACCAGACGTAGGGACAGGAGGAGACTCAGTGGTCAGGGTGTACAGGCTCGACCCCGGCCGACGTGTAAACGTGGCCAGGTGCCGGCCTGTGCGAGCGTCCGAGTAGTGGGTCACCCGCTGACTCGCAGGAGTAAACTGGTGAATTCCCGCATCCTGTAGGTCAGCACCACTCACCAGGTTCGTAGAGAACGAGGGGAGGTAAAGACCAGACAAGGTGCCAGAGGGAGCCGCCGGACACGGGAGGACAGTGGAGAAGTGAGAAAGGACAGGACCCCCAGAGAGGTCTGCCAGGGAGACTGCAACCGGCCGACCAAGCGGCGTGAGTGTGGTGCGGTCTCGAAAGAAGGAGCGAGAAACCCCTAAGTCAAGTGTGAAGTTGAGGGAGGCCGAAGCCGACGCGGTACCTGAGAGTGTAGACTCACCAGCATCTGAGGATGCAGACGCACTGGCACCTAGAGCAGCAGCCTCACTGGCACCTAGAGGAGCATCCTCACCAGTACCTAGAGCAGCAGTCTCAATGCCCGGGTCGGGCGGGAAACACCGGTAACAGTCACCCTCATCACAAATAGTCACAGCATACATGGCAGCAAAAATAGCATCAAAGTCAAGATCAAAGATAACTACACCCGCCCTAGACAGCTCACCCCAGCGGGGGATCTCAGTGGCCTCCGGGAACTGATGACGCCAAGCGTCCGTCAGGCGGCCAAAGCAGCGCTGGGTGGGGTGTGCACCCCCACACTGCTCACCCGCGCGGTCGCCGGTGCGTAGGACGTAGGTGCACGGACCGGTACCCCCACCACGCTGGCGTGAAGCGTACCACTCACGGAGCTGCTGAGGGGGGGGGATGTCCCGAGAACGCTGCTGCTGCTGCTGCTGCTGCTGACCACCACCGGAGCCGCCCCGCTGCGTAGCACCACCCCGACCAGCTCCACCTCCTCCACCACCGCCTCCTCCACCTCCGCCACCACCGCCGCCTCCGCTCCCACCGCTACCGCCTCTGCCGCCTCCGCCTCCACTGCCGCCACCGACACCTCCACCCCCGCCACCACTCCCACCGCCACCCCCACTCCCTCCGCCGCCTCCACCGCCGCCTCCACCACCCCCGCTAGCTCCTCCAGCGCCCCTGCCCCCCTTGCCCTTTCCAGAGCGGCGTCTCCCACTGGGGGTAGACGCCGCACCGACCAACTCAAGACCAACGAGGTCGGCCGCAGCAGCAGAGGCGACAGAGGGCAAAAGGGGGGAGGGGGAACACCCCTCAAAGATGGGGGTGCGAGGGTCACCACGAGAGGCTCCTACAGCGACTATGCTCTTCTCCGCTACTAAGAGGGCCTTCTCGAGGAGGTCAACAGTGAGAGTGGTGGGACAGAATGAGAGGAAGTGGTCTTTGACTACACGAAGGGAGTCAGGTAGGCGGGTGACTATGTAGTAGAGAGTGATGTACATGGGGGGGGGGTTCGTGGCGCAGAACTCAGCAAGAAGCGCAACGCGGTAGCGAGTGTCACTAGTGCGGAGGTGCGTTATGAGGTCAGCAACTGTGGGAAAGGCAGCAAGGTCAGGGAAGAGGTACGGTAGCATGAGGCGGCTCAGTGCAGCAGTGGCAGGGGAAGAGTAGCGCGCAACTACAGCGTCGTACAAGGTCTGAGCACTCTTGTAGTGACTAAAGTGCGCGCGCTCAGTGGTAGGCAGGTGGCGACGCACAGCAAGATGTGCAGCAGCATCGCGAGTGGCCCACTGTGAGCGAACAGTGGCGTCGGCATCGGCACCAGGGGCAGGGGAAGCACCAGAGGTGAGGTCAAAGAGGGAGAGACCGTCTGCCCTATCGCACTGTAGGAAAAGCTGCAGGTCATCTACCCAGACGTCAAAGTCAATGGCCCGACCCTCAGCGTCAAAAGTGAGAACACTGGGGGTAGCCATGACAGCAGTAGACTAGCAGCGCTAACTGTAGAGCAGGGGCAGTGCAGTGACAGAGGCGCTGCTCTCACCAGACAGGGCGGTTCGGGCAGCTCGGGCGGCTCGGCAGCAACTGCGGCTCGGCGGCACCCGCAGCTCGGCTCCTCAGCTGCTCTGGCGGCTCGGGCGGCTCGGGTGGCTCGGGCGGCTCGGGCGGCTCGGGCAGAACGGGCGGCTCGGGCGGCTCGGGCAGCGCGGGCGGCTCGGCTGCGTAGGCGGCTCGGGCGGTAGGGGACGAGGCCGGGACCGCAGGTAGTGCGTCGGGGCCGCAGGTAGGGCGGCGGGGCTGTTGGTAGGGCGGCGGGGCCGCAGGTGGGGCGGCGGGGCCGCAGGTAGGGCGGCGGGGCTGCAGGTGGGGCGGCTGGGCCGCAGGTAGGGCGGCTGGGCCGCAGGTAGGGCGGCTGGGCCGCATGTAGGGCTGCTGGGCCGCAGGTAGGGCGGCGGGGCCGCAGGTAGGGCGGGTGGGCCGCAGGTAGGGCGGCGGGGCGGGGCCGTAGGTAGGGAGACGGGGCCGGGTCGAAGGTAGGGCGGCGGGGCGGGGCCGTAGGTAGGGAGACATGGCCGGGTCGAAGGAAGGGCGACGGGGCCGGTACGCAGGTAGGGCGACGGGACCGGGGCCGGGGCGCAGGTAGGGCGACGGGGCCGGGGTCGGAGGTGGGGCGACGGGGCCGGGGTCGCAAGTAGGGCGACGGGGCCAGGGGCCGGGGCGCAGGTAGGGAGACGGGACCGGGGTCGCAGGTAGGGCGACGGGGCCGGGGCGCAGGTAGGGCGACGGGGCCAGGGCGCAGGTAGGGCGACGGGGTCGGGGCGCAGGTAGGGCGACGGGGCCGAGGCGCAGGTAGGGCGACGGGGCCGGGGCCGTAGGTAGGGTGACGGGGTCGCTAGGGCGACGAATCAGGGGCCGCAAAGGCGGCGCGAATTGGCCGCTAGGGCGGCTCGACGAAGTCAGAGAGGGGAGCGCGACTCGGGCTGAGCGCGCTCTGGGCAGGAAAAAAAAACTTTCGACTTGGTGGGCCCTATGCACAGTTCCCACAAGGGAACCTGCTCGATACCATGAGAAAACTGAAACGGGAAAAGATGTGCACTAAGGAATGGAATGTGATACAAATATGCAACCCTAGAAATGTGTACCCCATGTAGGCTACCCCACTACAGCCTACATAACATTATGATTTGACAAAAATTGCTAAAGCTGCGGGTGGGGTGGTGACTATGGAGGACGATACGTTGCTGCTAGGGAAAAAAGTGGATGTGGCGGTTCGGAGATTGAGGGAGGGGAAGAAGCATGCGTTGGAGGTTAGCGTCGTAGATCCTATCTCTCTGTCAGCGCAGCAACACGGACAGATCGGCCGCAAGGTGGGTTTCGCTGCTAGAGAGAGAGAGAAAAGCGGAAGGCAGGGGATTACAAATTGCTTTTGCAGCGGCATAGGGGAGTGCAGTTCACGCCTCTCATTACAGAGACCTGGGGATGTCTTGGTGGGAGCTTTGGACGATGGCTTAAGAAACAGGGTGATGCACAGATTGAGGTAGCAAAGACGAAGGGAGCGGCGAGGGCCACGAGAAAAGGTTTTTCAGCTTATCTGCTAGGGTCACTTAAAGCAGCCATAGGGGTGGCTCTGCAGCGCGCTCGGGCACGGGTGATCTTGCTACGTGCGGCGTCAATGATGAGAGGTCCAGATGTTGTTTGGCTTGAGCGGGAAGATATGGCGGAGGATGTTGGGTGGGATGCTTCGTGGGTGGATGCGCCCTACTTGGTTGATATGCGGGTCTAGAGGAGGGGTTGGGGGGTGTGGAATTTTTAAATAGGGTGTTTTATTGGGGTGTCTTGATGGGGTTCCTTATGTGGTGTTTTTAGAGTCTCTTGGGGGTGCACTTTCTCTTTCCCTTTCCTTGTCCCTTTCCTCTCAACTTCCCGTGCCCCTTTTTCCCTTTTTGACTTCCCTTCTTCCCACCTTTTCTACTAATCTCTTTCTCTTCCCCCTTTTTTTCCTTTTGATACCTCTCCCTGAGCCTTGTATTACATCTGTTTGCTGTCCGTGTAACATATCAATTAGTAGTCAGAGAGTACAAAATTGGTAAAAAATATTAAACAAACTAAGAACCTGCATAGGGATGTTGTCTATTTTTCCCAAAACAAGTATTGGGAAAATGCTCCATGCAATTCGCGTTGTGGGGGTCCCCGATGATATTACTGATGACTTTAGCAACTTTCTGTACTACTGTGGACTCACGTCATGCAACAATCAATTACACCAATCGGGTATCTCACGAAACTTCCACGAACATGAATTCACGTGCCACGCTGGCATGGCCCACTTGCGGACACGAGTTACCACCTCCTTCAGCGATCCACTACACCAATCAGCTGGTTCCATATCGGACTCTTCACGCTTACGACTCGGCAAACATTGAGGCTCAACACATCTCCCCTCCTGGCCGATAAATTGTTCCTCCTTTCCACACAATACCAACGATCCATCGACTCGCGAATGCACGTCTATTTGTCCCCGTCTGGACTCTGAAGTTCTTAACTTGTTGAAATCATCTTTCAGTCGCGAGATTCAGTCCACACACCCGCACACTTCCCATCAGTGTTACTCATAGCCCATTCGTAAACGCTGTCCGAAGTCCCGACGGCCGTGCTCATTCCCTTTGACCGCGCCGCAGATCAGCGGAACCCGGAATCTACAGAATACTTCACAGAAATACCCAGCAAAGCAGGAACTATACTTCACAGAAATACCCAGCAAAGCAGGAACTTGAGATTATGGCGCACAGGAGTCACGGCTGCAGGGTTTCGCCCACAACCTCGTGTTGCCTACTCCTAGTAGTGGCATCCTCAACGGTTTTCTGTAACCGTTCTGCATCCGCGACTTCTCTTACCGAGTCGCTCTCCTCCTACTCCAATGTAGCGTTGCTGGATCCGCGCTACGAGCTTTACTGGACCGTTAACAATAGCGATGCGACCATCCAAATGGCAGTGAGGGCCAAAACGACGGGATGGTTCGGTATAGGCATCTCCGAGATTGGCTCCATGGTGGGCTCAGGTACGAATCGATCCGTGTGGAATTCCTGCTCGTTACATTGTGGGCTCACGTACGACTCCATAAGTATACTTCGTGACGGTCGGGTGGGTCTGGAGTGTGCTTCGTGCTCTTCCTGTCCATTGCAAGATTTGTTAGTCGTTTCCGACATGACTGCCGCGCTAGAGACGCATTCATCACGAGTCCGCCTAAGGAGTCGTATTGGACGACTCACCTATCCCACCTCACATTCCTTTTTCACTCTCGCTCACTCTGTTGGATGGCTTCCGCTCTCGCCCTCTCTGCACGCCGCATTCGTGTGCGACCAGATGCCCTCGTCGCATGGGTCGCACAGTCTGACGCCCGCGCGTATGCGACGGATCGCTTCATTTTCAACAAGACTACCGAAGGAATCGCACTTGACGACAAGCAGGACTGGCACGTGCTGGGCGGCAGCCAGACCACGAACCAATCCACGGGCGACACGTGGACTACCGTGCACGTGTGGCGCCAGCTGGACACGGGCGATTGCAACGACCGCCCGATTGTTCCTGGGAAGCTTCACAACATCATCTGGGCGATGGGCCCCACGACTGACGTCAGCTATCACAGCTCCGACCGCGGTTCTTCCGCCCTCGTGCTCGCGTCTGCTCCCGGCCCCTCCATCATCGCGCCCGCGCCTCCCCCCTCCCCCTCCGCGTCCGCCTCCGCGTCCGCTGCGTCTGATTCTCTTGAAGCGGTTGGGCGGTTGGCTGCGCAGCAGCAGGCAGGGAAGCAGCCAGCGCAGCAGGCGCAGCAGCAGCAGGAGAGCATGCTCAATTTCACGTTCACGAATTACCGTTTGCCAACGGACTTCACGACCTATCGCTGCAAGGTGCGCGGCGTTTCTGCAATGGTCCGTGCGTTCGCGCGCCTTTTCCAAGCACGCATTGCGCATATGTTCCCCAATCCGATGCTCCTCCCGAATGCCCCCGAATTTCCCAAAAGCTGCAAACGCCCCAGAAAGTCCCATGTGCCTCCTTTTGTTCTTGGGCATTTGGTTTCTCCTCAATCCGCGTGACACCGTTTCTAGGCCACATTAACTTGAGCGCACCCTCTGCATGCTCGCGCCCCTCTCTGCACCCATCTGCACCGATCCTCACCCATTTGCACCGATCTGCGCCCATCTATGACGCCCATAGGTGGTGGACGTTGCTCTCAAGACCAAGACTCATGCGGTTGAGTGGGGTGCCGTGCTCAACTCTACCGACATCTCAGCCGTCCATCATGCCATCATCTACGGCTGCAAACCGTAAGCGACACATACGCTCCCATTCCCCTCCCCTCCCTGGGCAAAGAGCACGCCAATCTGCCGCCCGCCCGCCTGTCCGCCGCTCGCCCAGAGCTCCTTTTGCAGCCAGCACGACACTTCTGTGAACTCCGCCTAGAGAATTCACTTTCCCCCCTCCTTGCTCTCAAACACACCCTGTGCTGCACTACCCCACACACACACACTCCCCCACCTGTACAGCAAGGAGTACGGCAATCTCAAGGGCGCAGGGGCCACCTTTGACTGCCTGCACGACACGCCATGCGCCACCACTGTCGCCGTGTGGGCTGTGGGCGGCAGACCCTTCACCTTCCCGCCCAATGTCGGCTACCCCATCGGCTCCGGCTACTTCACCAAGTTCGTGCTGCAGGTGGGTGCAATGGGATGCAATGCGGTGCTGAGCTCACTCCATTCCTGGAGCCTTCCTTCCCACCACCATTTCTAGTGCTAATCCTTCCAAGCTTCCTCCCCTCACACTCCTGCCCCACGCACAAACCCTTGTGGCCTTCTCTTTCCCTCCCTCTACCCCCACCCCGCCCCCTTAGGTGCATTTCACCAATCCCAAGGGCCGCGCAGATCTGATTGACAACTCGGGGATATACCTGAAACTCGCCCCATCTCTCCGTTCCATGGACGCGTCCATCATGCTCACGGGGCCTGTCCCATACGAGTACCTGATCAGAATCCCCCCCGCCATGCCCTCGTGGACGCAAGTCAGCACGTGCCCGGGCGAGTGCACTGCCAAGGTGTTCGGGAATGAGAGCGTGAAGATCATTGGGTCGTTCCTGCACCTGCACACGCTGGGGCGACAGGTGAGGGATGAATGAAGGGATTCCAAGGTGAGGATGGACAGGGCATGCCTTCCCGGACTCGAGCGAGCCCCTGCTCGAGCGAGTGCAGTGCCGCGGTGCTCAAGAACGAGAGCGTGAAGATCGTTGGGTCCTTTCTGCACCTGCACACGCTGGGGCGACAGGTGAGGGATGAATGAAGGGATTCCAAGGTGAGGGATGAGTAGACTGCTACACATGCCCCCCTGTTGCACCCCCCTGTTGCCATGCTCCCCTGCTACACATGCCCCCCTGTTGCACCCCCCTGTTGCCATGCTCCCCTGCTACACATGCCCCCCTGTTGCACCCCCCTGTTGCCATGCTCCCCTGCTACACATGCCCCCCTGTTGCACCCCCCTGTTGCCATGCTCCCCTGCTACACATGCCCCCCTGTTGCACCCCCCTGTTGCCATGCTCCCCTGCTACACATGCCCCCCTGTTGCACATGCGCCCTGTTGCCCATGCCCCCTTGCCGTATGTCCCCATGATCTGTACATGGATGTGACTAGAGGAGGTAGCAAGGTTGCAACGTTTGGGACGTCTGAAAAATCCATGTCCCCATGTCCGTATGCCCCAATATCCCCCTTTCCCCCATACCCCCATGCCCCCCTGCCCCCATGCTCCCCATGCGTCCATGAGCAGTTATACACGGATGTGTTCAGAAAAGGCAGCAAAGTCGCCACCATCAGCCGTCAGGACTACTAGTGAGTTCCCTTCATCACCCAACCATCGCTCTTGTTCATTTTACCCCTTTTACCCTTTTTTAACCCCGTTGTTCCTTCTTTCACTCTTCCCCTCCACCCCATACCCCTCACACCCCAAGCCATCGCAGCGACTTCATATCGCAGCAGACCATTCCCTCCGTGCCTGAGCTCGTTCTGCTCTCTGGAGACGAGCTGACTAGAGCCTTCCCTCCCCTCCCCTCTCGGTCCCTCCCTCCCTCCCTCCCTCCCTCCCTCCCTCCCTCCCTCCCTCCCTCCCTCCCTCCCTCCCTCGCTCCCTCCCTTCCTCCCTCCCTCCCTCCCTCCCTCTTTCCTCTCTCCCCCACACCCTCCACACCTTAAATAGCGACTTTGCATCACAGCAGACAATCCCGTTCACGCCCGAGTTTGAGCTGCTGCCAGGGGATGAGCTGCGCACCTCCTGTGTCTGGGACTCCTCTGACCGCACCAACGTACGTGCCTCCCCCTCCCCCCCACACCACAACATGCATGCTTCCTACCCAACATTTGGGTCTGTGGGCGTTGGAATAGATTACCCTGTGTTGTCCCCTTGTTGGGACCAGGTGTACCAACATGCGGTTTGATTACCTTCCGATGTACGCACGTCTCTCAGCACTTCAATACCCTCCAACTTTACTTCATTCCGGTACCATCTGTGCCTGGGATTACTCCCCCTACTTACCTCGCGTCTTACAGTGCCAGTTCCGCTGTATTGTTGACAACCCCCCTTTTACAATAAACTCTGTCCCTGTGCTGCTCCTCTCCACCTGCTGCTGCATGCAGGTGACGGTGGGAGGGCCGTCAACGGAGGAGGAGATGTGCATTGACTACCTCATCTACTACCCTGCACGCCAGGGCCAAGGTAATTCCTTCTTCCCATGCACAGGGAGCAGCAGGGCCAAGGTAGTGCTATATCTCCCCGTGCACTCTAGCAGGGGGGGGCTTTTTTCTCTTTGCCAGATGTATCCACGGAGGGCCAGATGTATCCACGGAGGGCCAGATGTATCCACGGAGGGCCAGATGTATCCACGGAGGGCCAGATGTGCATTGACTACATCGTTTACTACCCCGCATGCCAGGGCCGAGGTAATGCTTCTTCCCATTGGGTGATGCGTTTCAGTTGGAGACCCACCCTCCCACACGCCCATTGCTGCTGCCACAAGTTGGAGATGGACGAGATCGTTACCAGCACCTCACCTCACCCCCCCTATCCCTTCCCCACGTCCCCATCCTCTCTCCTCAATCCGTGTGCCACCAGAGAAGGACTCGTGCTACGACTTGTGTGCATCGTACGAGAATGACACGCTCGGCATGGACCCCACCAGCCCTATGTTACGCTAGCAACCCACCCCCTTTCGTTTCCCCCAACACCCCCTTCTCCCCCCCCCCCCCCCACCAGAGATGGACTCGTGCTCCGACTTGTGTGCATCGTACGAGAACGACACGCTTGGCATGGACCCCACCAGCCCTACTGCTTACACTCCCCTCGCCCCCTGCCCCCACCTCCTTCCCCTTCTTTCACTTCACTCCCACCAGAGATGGACGCATGCTACGACTTCTGTGCGTCGTACGACAATGACACACTCGGGTTGAACCCCAACAGCCCTACGCTCTCCAAGTTCTACGTGTGTGGGCCCAACTTCATCCCCACGTACCAGCCCTGCAAGATCACCTTCGGCTCCAACACGCCCAAGAAAGTCGTCAACGGCTGCCCTGCAGAGTGAGTGCTCACCAGGCCTGACTGCATTGCACCACAATGAGCGCCAGCCACAACACTCTGCGCCGCACCACACCCCTACCCTGCCAAAGCATCTCAAAACACACTCACACTTCATCCCCACGTACCAGCCCTGCAAGATCACATTCGGCTCCAACACCCCTAAGAAAGTCGACAACGGCTGCCCTGCTGAGTAAGTCGAGGCACGACCGCACTGCACCACACCTCACCCCTACCCTGTTGCGCCACACTCACACTTCATCCCCACGTACCAGCCCTGCATGATCACATTTGGCTCCAACACGCCCAAGAAAGTCGTCAACAGCTGCCCTGTAGAGTGAGTTGAGACTCAACCGCACTGCACCACTCCTGACCACAGCCCTGCGCTGACACACACTCTTCATCCCCTCCTACCAGCCCTGCAAGATTGTATTCGGCTCCAACACACCGCTCGCAGTCCTCTCACACCTCTGCCCTTCCCTTCTTCCCTTTCCTCACCTCTTCCCTTCCCCCCGCCCCTTTCTTTCCCTTCCCCCCGCCCCTTTCTTTCCCTTCCCCCCACCCCTTTCTTTCCCTTCCCCCCACCCCTTTCCTTCCCTTCCCCCCACCCCTTTCCTTCCCTTCCACCAACCTCTCTTCTTCCACCTCCCACACCCCTCCCCTGTATCCACCCACGCATCTCCTCACAGGCATTCCTTCTGACACTGCCCCTGCACCACTGCAACCCGCCGTGCCACCACTTGCCACCGCACTACCTCGTCGCACACCACACTTAGTCGTCTCCCTCGTCTCCCACCTCCCCCCTCTGCTCCCTGACTACTCCCTCCCCTGCATCCACAGGAGCCACGCATCACTGGCAGACATCTTCTCTCACACCATCTCTGCACCGCTCTCCGCCAACGCACCATCTGACATAAAACCTCTCCCACCCCTTCCCGTCAACCCTTGGCAGGAGCCATGCATCGCTGGCAGACATCCCCTCTGACACTATCTCTGCACCGCTCTCTGCCACCGCACCACCTGCACCTGCTGCTGCTCTCCCTCCTCCTACCGCTCCTGCTGCTGCTTCACCCCCCAGCAACAGCAGTGGCAAGGCAGCAGCACAGGCAGCATCAGTTCACAGTGGCAGTTCCAGTGCAGTGATGGCTGTGGCTCTGCTCTGCGCCGTCCTTGCCCTGGCGCTCTAAGTGTACACCCGCTCATCCCCATCCACTGCCAGCTCATCCCCATCCACTGCCAGCTCATCCCCACCCACTGCCAGCTCATCCCCATCCACTGCCAGCTCATCCCCACCCACTGCCAGCTCATCCCCACCCACTGCCAACTCATCCCCACCCACTGCCAGCTCATCCCCACCCACTGCCAGCTCATCCCCACCCACTGCCAGCTCATCCCATCCGCTGCCAGCTCATCCCCACCCACTGCCAGTGATGGCTGTGGCTCTCCTCTGCGCCGTCCTTGCCCTGGTGCTCGAAGTATGCACCCGTTCACAGCCGACGCTGTTGGTTGCTCCGGTAAGGCAGCACAGGCGGCACCAGTCCACAGTGGCAGTGCCAGTGCAGTGGTGGCTGTACTCTGCTTCTTCCTTGTCCTTGTGTTTTCAGTAGAGGTGAAGGGGTCATCGGTGTTGCTGATTTGGGGCATGATAGCACCCGCAGTTGCTGCTGCTTCACCTACAGTGCTAGTGGTCAAGTTGCATTAGAACAACTAGTATCTTTGCGTAGCTAATTGCTTAGTGCTGTACTCGGCGTGTCTATGTGCTTATAAAGCTATGTATTTCCGTGATTTTTTTCTACACCACTGTATCACAGATCAATTATCGGTCCATGTTAGAATATAATATGAAGTGGTGCTCCTTGAACCAAGATATGATACATGGTACAATGATACACATACCGTAATACCCCGCATAGAAGACCCCCTCCAGTTGTAGACCCCCGGGTCCATAATACGGAGGGGGGTATGCTAAATAGGTCGTTTGTAGTTATACCCCCCTAAATGGGGGCTAACATTATAAGACCCCCCCCCCTCCCCCTAGAGAACCGGTCATTTTATAGGCAATGAACGCAATTCTGATAGCTTTTCTGCCCTTTTCCACTCCAAATCCCATAAAATTTTCAGCCAGTCACAAAAGCACATCTACTCATCATCATGTACATTCCGTGCATTGATTTTGAACGCTAATAACGAAGTTCATTCCGCACATTTTCTTTGAATGCTAAGAACGGAGCACATAGTGTTGACATGTCTGGCTTCCAAAACACAAGTAATATACATGACCTTATGATAAGACCCGGGTCTTATAAAATGTAGCCAACTGTTAAGACCCCCCGCCATTTTTGGGGTGGGATTCTTATAATACCCCCGGATCTTATATCCGGGGTATTACGGTATTCCTTCATATAAAAATGACATGCGCGCTCACTCTTGATCGCATCATCCTCTTTGGTAGTTGGCATAGAATGCAGCTTCTAGGGGCGATACACTCTTCTTCACTGTACCAAGCGCTTTATCGAAATGCCGCATGCTCACACACGCTGCGGAAATATCTTCCTGAAAACAGGGCAAGAATTGGGATGAGGCAGAGTGTGTATACCGAATGAGCACTGAACACATGTACAGTGAATGTAAGCACTGTAACATTCTCGCTGAGCACAAATGCACAGAACATATCAATAAGCATCCCCAGCACTTGCCAGCTCATCCCCATCCACTGCCAGCTCATCCCCATCCACTGCCAGCTCACCTCCAGCGCTGCCAGCTTGGCCTCTCGACAAATCGCAGTGATGTCAGCGCCCGTGTACCCCTCGCTCCGTGCCGCCAGCTGGCAGCTGAGCTGGCAGGAGTCCACGTCAGCATGCAGCGGCGTGCCGCGCAGGCAGAGCGCAAATATCTTCTCTCGGGCGGCAAGGTCGGGCGGCGGGACAAAAAGGAGGCGGTCGAAGCGGCCGGGCCTCAGGAGGGCTCGGTCTAAGAGGTCTGGACGATTGGTTGCTGCGATTACAGTGACTTGAGTGGATGGGGTGAGGGCTGGGAGCGAGCAACAGGGAAAGCAAGCGGGGGAAGGGATTTGTATGGAAGTGCCTTAGGAGGCGGTCGAAGCGGCCGGGCCTCAGGAGGGCTCGGTCTAAGAGGTCTGGACGATTGGTTGCTGCAATCACCGTGACTTGGGTGGATGGGGTGAGGGCTGGGAGGGAGGGTGTGGGGTGTGTGGAGGTTGGAGGGGCAGGGATAGTGAAGCACAAGAGAGTGATTGAATGTAAGGACGTTAGGAGGGCTCGATCTAAGTGGTCTGGCCGGTTGGTTTCTGCAATGACTGTTACTTGGGTGGAGGGGGTGAGGGCTGGCAGGGAGGGTGTGGGGTGTGTGGAGGGCCGGGGAAAGAGAGGCACAAGAGGCGGATGAATGAAAGTGCCTCAGGGGAGCTCCATTTAAGAGGTCTGGCCGGTTGGTTGCTTTTTTTGAGGCGCCTCAAAAAGGGGGAAGAATGGAAGTGCCTCAGGAGAGCTCAATCCAAGAGGTCTGGCCGGTTGGTTGCTGCGATGACTGTCACCTGCGTGGATGGGGTTAGGGCTGAGAGGGAGGGAATGGGGTGCGGAGGGGAAAAGCACGAAAGATGGGTCGAATGGACGAGTCTCAGTAGGGCGCGGTCTGTGATAAGTCGATTTTTGAGTCGCCTCAAAAATCGACTTATGAATGGACGGGTCTCGGTAGGGCGCGGTCTAAGAGGGGGGTGGATGAGAGTGTGTGAAGAGGGCGCAGTCTCAAGAGATCCCTCCCGGTATATCAACTCAGGCACGCACCGTCCAAGAGATCCCTCCCGGTATATCAACTCAGGCACTTTGTTGCAGGGTGATTTTGAGAATTCTCAAAAACACCCTGCGGTCTCAAGAGATCCCTCCCGGTATATCAACTCAGGCACTTGGTTGCAGGGTGATTTTGAGAATTCTCAAAAACACCCTGCGGTCTCAAGAGATCCCTCCCGGTATTTCAACTCAGGCACTTTGTTGCAGGGTGATTTTGAGATTTCTCAAAAACACCCTGCGGTCTCAAGAGATCCCTCCCGGTATATCAACTCAGGCACTTGGTTGCAGGGTGATTTTGAGAATTCTCAAAAACACCCTGCGGTCTCAAGAGATCCCTCCCGGTATTTCAACTCAGGCACTTTGTTGCAGGGTGATTTTGAGATTTCTCAAAAACACCCTGCGGTCTCAAGAGATCCCTCCCGGTATATCAACTCAGGCACTTTGTTGCAGGGTGATTTTGAGAATTCTCAAAAACACCCTGCAGTCTCAAGAGATCCCTCCCGGTATATCAACTTAGGCACTTTGTTGCAGGGTGATTTTGAGAATTCTCAAAAACACCCTGCGGTCTCAAGAGATCCCTCCCGGTATATCAACTCAGGCACTTTGTTGCAGGGTGATTTTGAGAATTCTCAAAAACACCCTGCGGTCTCAAGAGATCCCTCCCGGTATATCAACTCAGGCACGCACCGTCCATCTCCAGCAGCAGCCGAGTCATCACTCTGTCCCCCATGCCACACCTCCCGATGCTCCTCCCCCCCCCATTTTGCTGTGGATAACTCTCAAAGCCACTCCAATGAAAAGGAATCAACTCAGGCACGCACCGTCCATCTCCAGCAGCAGCTGAGTCATCACTCTGTCCCCCATGCCACACCTCCCGACGCTCCTTCCCCGGCCATTTTGCTGTGGATAACTCTCAAAGCCACTCCAATGAAAAGGAATCAACACAGGCACTCACCGTCCATCTCCAGCAGCAGCTGAGTCATCACTCTGTCCCCCACGCCTCCCGATGGCCCTCCCACATGCTGGCAGCGTTGAGAGTAATAACTGAACGATTACGACCCACGCACAGCCACTCACCATCCATCTCCAGCAGCAGCTGAGTCATCACTCTGTCCCCCATGCCACACCTCCCGACGCTCCTCCCCCCCCCCCATTTTGCTGTGGATAACTCTCAAAGCCACTCCAATGAAAAGGAATCAACACAGGCACTCACCGTCCATCTCCAGCAGCAGCTGAGCCATCACTCTGTCCCCCACGCCTCCCGATGGCCCTCCCACATGCTGGTAGCGTTGAGAGTAATAACTGAACGATTACGACCCACGCACAGCCACTCACCATCCATCTCCAGCAGCAGCTGAGTCATCACTCTGTCCCCAACACCTCCCGATGCTCCTCCTCCTGCTTTGCTGCGCGCCACTGCCAGCCCATCTATCTCATCAAAGAACACGATCGCCGGAGCTGCTGCCTTGGCTCGGGAGAACAAGGTTCGGACAGCTCGTTCGGACTCGCCCACCCACTTGGATAACAGCTCGGGACCCTGTGGGAAATAAGAGGGGGGGAAGGACTAGTTCTGACGAGCCTCACCTCATAAAAATGGGGGGGAAGGACTGCTTCATCAAGCTCTGCAATGAGGACTTTTGAGGCGCCTAAAAAATGAGGAGCCTCTCCTCATACATGCTTCATCAAGCTCTGCAATGAGGAGAGGATTTGTGGCTGAAACGGGGAGAAGAAGAAAAGAGTAGGGGGATGAGGTGGAAAGTGCTGATCGTCATCTAGCGGCTTGGGCTCAAGAGAACAAGGCTTCGGTTACTTTTGTTTTGTACACCCACGTTGACTCACGTGGACCCTGATTGACTCACGTGGACCCTGGTTGACTCACGTGGACCCTGGTTGACTCACGTGGACCCTGGTTGACTCACGTGGACCCTGGTTGACTCACGTGGACCCTGGTTGACTCACGTGGACCCTGGTTGACTCACGTGGACCCTGGTTGACTCACGTGGACCCTGGTTGACTCACATGGACCCTGGTTGACTCACGTGGACCCTGGCTGACTCACGTGGACCCTGGTTGACTCACGTGGACCCTGGTTGACTCACGTGGACCCTGGTTGACTCACGTGGACCCTGGTTGACTCACGTGGACCCTGGTTGACTCACGTGGACCCTGGTTGACTCACGTGGACCCTGGTTGACTCACATGGACCCTGGTTGACTCACGTGGACCCTGGCTGACTCACGTGGACCCTGGTTGACTCACGTGGACCCTGGTTGACTCACGTGGACCCTGGTTGACTCACGTGGACCCTGGTTGACTCACGTGGACCCTGGTTGACTCACCTTGACTGCAAGAAAGTTGAGCCTTGCTTCTGTTGCTACTGCCCTGCACTCATGCCACATTCCACAGCATGCAAAGAGAGGGTCAACGACAAGGGAAGCAAGGCTCTCCAATCCAGCACAAAAAACTGGGAATTGGAAACTCCAGCATCTGTCACAAGGGCCTGCACCAGCGTGCAACTTAAGTAACATACTTAGCTAAGAGCGTCTTGCTGCAGCCCGGGGGTCCGTAGAGCAGCAGCCCACGCGGAGGGGTGGCGCCAATGGCTCTCATCTCATGTGCGCGCGTGTACGGCCACTCCACTGCCTCCTTCAACCGCTGCTTGATCCCTTCGAGTCCTCCGATATCGCTCCACCGCACAGTGGGTACCTCCACTGCCATCTGTTGGGTGGGGGTGTGTGTGGGGGGTCGGAAGAGACACATACAGCCATGTGCCCGGGGGTACGTCCACTCCACTCCACTGCCTCCTTGAGCCTTCGCTTTATCCCCTTCGAGTCCCCCGATATCGCTCCACCGTACAGTGGGTACCTCCACTGCCACCTGTCGGGTGCGGAGGGGGCGCACACAGGAACAAAACATCCATGTCAGTGGGGTGTGGCGCCGATGGCTCTCATCTTGTGTGCGCGCGTGTACGGCCACTCCACTGCCTCCTTCAACCGCTGCTTGATCCCTTCAAGTCCGTTAATGTCAGCCCATCGCACTGTTGGCACCTCCACTGCTACCTGGTGGGTGGGTAGGTGGCGTGGAACACAAAGGAACAAAACGACCATGTCAGGAGGAGTGGCGCCAATGGCTCTCATCTGGTGTGCGCGTGTGTACGGCAATTCCACCGTCTCCTTCAACCGCTGCTTTATTCCCTCCAGCCCTCCAACGCAGTGCCAGTCAGGTTAACCAACGCACTGAGGGTGCCTCCACTGCTATCTAGTGAGAGGGGGAGTGGGGGACGAGAGGCAGACAGGAGCAAAGCAGCCATGTAACAGGGGTGCATACCCGCAACAACCATATGGGAGGGGAGCAACCATCATTCAGCAGCACCGCCACTACCCACACCTCCCCATCTGCCCCACCTCCCCTCCCCTGCCCCATGCACCTCTCTGAGAGCGTTAGGTCGAATGCGTCTCCTAGTTCAAAGTCCTCCTCACACACTGCCAGCTGCACTCCACACAGGGGCCTTCCGCACCCCAAGCAATCCTAGCACAGGCAGCACCGGCAGCATTTTCAGAACCCCCACCCCCACCTTCCCTCCCCTGCCCCACGCACCTCTCTGAGGGCGCTGGGCCGGATGCATCGCCTGGCCACTTCAAAGTCCTCCTCGCACACCGCCAGCTGCACCGCACACGAGCCTTCTGCACCGCTTGCAACCCCACTATCCGCAGAACAGCCCTGCTCCTTTTCCCTACCCTCCTCTCTACCCTCCTCCTGGTCCTCCTCCCCTTGTCTTGCCCCTCTCTGCCTCTCCTTCTCCCCCACGATTCGTCGCAGGGCTGCCACGGCAGCTTCAGAGCAGAGCGCGCTGATGTCAGCGCCCACGAATCCGTGCGTTGCTGAGCTGGCGATGAGGTGGACGGCCTCGGGCGGCAGCGCGTGCGCCATGCAGGATAGTTGGGTGCTGAGGATTGCGAGGCGGTCGGAAGGAGTGGGGATGCCTGAAAGGAAGAACAGTACGATTCGGATGGAAGAACTGAAACAAAAAGCACAGAGATCATGCAACGTGGGGTGGAATCATTTGCAATGAAGCCCATTTTTGAGAATACTCAAAAGTTCAATCAGAGTAGCTTGGGGTGGAATCACCAAACATGAAGCCCATTTACACAGATTTGTTTGATTGGGGTAGACAACGGGCCATGCCACATTATACCTCCATGACTACTTTCGACCGCAATCTACACCTTCCTCACACCACTCACCGATCTCCACCTCTCGATCGAACCTCCCAGGCCGCCTGAGAGCGGGATCGATCGCATTCACTCGGTTGGTCGCCCCAATCACCACCACCCCTCTCCCCAACGCCACCGCCTTCCTTCCCTTCCCTCCCACCCCTCCATCCCCTTCTCCTCTTCCGCCCCCTCTTCCCTCGCCTTGTCCCCCCCCCCCATCTCCACCACTTGAGGAGGTGCCATCAAGGATGGTGAGAAGAGCCGCCACCATGCGGTGAGAGAGGTCCTCTGCATCACGGGTTCTCGCTGGGGCTATGGCGTCTAGCTCGTCTATGAACACCTGGGTGCAGTGCGGTGAAGAGGGGTGAGAAGGGGAGCATGGGAGAGGAGGCGCCATCAAGGATGGTGAGAAGGGCCGCCACCATGTGGTGAGATAGGTCCTCCACATCTCGAGTCCTGGCAGGGGCTATGGCGTCTAGCTCGTCTATGAACACCTGGGTGCAGTGCGGTGACGAAGGGTGAGAAGGAGGGTAGAAGGGGTCAGGAAGGGTGAGGAGGGGTGTGGAGGGGAGTACGGGAGAGGAGGCGGCATCCAGGATGGTGAGAAGGGCCGCCACCATGCGGTGAGACAGGTGCTTTGCATCTAGGCTACCCCATACCACACCACACCACCCCATGCCGCACTGCACCACACTGCACCACTCACAATGGAAGGCGCAGCCTCCTGGGCGGCAGAAAACACCTCGTTAAGAGCCTCCTCGCTCTCCCCAAAGAACTCGCTCACGATTGCGACACTGGCTGTGGCGTCCAGCCCGTCTATGGGCCCACCACTCCACACCACTCCACACCACTCCACACCACTCCACACCACGCCACACCAATCCACACCACTCCACACCACTCCACACCACTCCACACCACGCCACACCAATCCACACCAACACACCACACAACTCACAATAGAAGGGGCTGCTTCCTGGGCGGCAGAGAACACCTCGTTAAGAGCCTCCTCGCTCTCCCCAAAGAACTCGCTCACAAGCTCCGGCCCATTAATGACAAACAACGCCGCCCCAGCCTCCGCCGCCACTGCCCGAGCCAGCGACGTCTTGCCAGTGCCGGGCGGCCCGTGCAATAATATCCCGCGGGGCGGCTTGATGCCGTACCTGTTGTGCAGGGAAAATATTCCAAAAGGAACGAATAAGGGGGGAAGGCAGGGGTACGGTGGCTGTTTGAGCCAACAACGTCTTGCCCGTGCCGGGCGGCCCATGCAATAATATCCCCCAGGGGGGCTTGATGCCATACCTGGTGGTGTCGGGTGAGCGGTAACAGAGTGGGGGAGAGAATCGTGGGGGTGGGAGGGGAGAGGGGGCAGGGGGGAAAGGTGATGCAATGATATCCCACTCGTGGTGTGGATGTAGGTTCGGGAATTTGGAGCTTCGGGGTAAAGCAACAAACAGAGCGTCACAATGGACCGAACAGAGCTTCGGGGTAAATGACGCATCTCCATGCAATGCCACCGCTGCTGTGCAGCGTAGCACTTCCAGGAAAACACATCCCTTCGGATTTTGGATGTATACACATCCGTTCCCTGCCATGCCATACCTGTGAGCTTTCAATACTCAGCTTATGCATACCTGGGGAAGAGCTCCAGGCATCCCATACCTGTGGAAGAGGTCCGGGTACTCCATACCAGTGGAAGAGCTCTGGGCATCCCATACCTGTGGAAGAGGTCCGGGTGTCGGAGAGGTAGCAGCACAGCCTCCTTGAGAGCCTTCTTCTGTTCCTCCAGCCCCCCCACCGACCCCAACGTGATTCCCCTCAAATCCCCCGCCACCCGCCTTGCCACCGCCGCTGCCCCTCCCCCCCTCCCTTCCTCCCCATCCTCATCCTTTTCCGTCTTCTCCCCTTCCTTCTCTTCTCCACTGCAGCTGCCACTCTCTCCTTCCCTCTCCCTCGCTCCAATAAGGGTGGCCGCAGGAGTGAGTAGGAACGGCGGCAGAGGGATTCTCGCTGCTGCTGCTGTTGCATCTGTTGCTGCACTTGCTGCTGTGCCCGCGCCTCTGTCCTGTGGTGGCACTAAAGGGGGAGAGGATACAATGACAGTGGTCTGGGGACCCACTTGCAGTGGTCTACCTGGCTCTGCCGCTAATGCTACTGCTGCTGCTGCCCTTGCTGCTTGCTGTGCTGATTCTCCAGCTGTGCTTGCTGTTGTTTCCATTGCTGGAGTTGTTTCTGCTGTTGCTACAGTACCATGGGAAATGACAAAACAGCAGTCCTGCCCGCACACAGGCACCACCACAATGTTCCCAGGCAGAAGCGTGCGGCCCAGCAGCCACCGGGCAGCAAAAACTTCCACAAGCTGAATACCCTGAACCTTATTTCTACTGCCGCTGCTGCGATTGGTCCCAGTGTTTCCTTCCGTCTGCCCGAGGAGTTTTTTCACAGCTGCCCAACGAGCCCTCTCCATCTCTTCTTCGCTTACAAAAGGAGCCTTTTTTGCACTGCCCAGAGTCACAGCACTACCCGGAGTCGACACATTTTTCACACTGCCCGGCGTTCTAGGCTCGAGGCGCCGTGCAACAGTGGAGGGGGTACTGGGAGAGGGGGAAGGGGAAGGGGAAGGGGAGGACGCTACAAAGGGGGGGGAGGTTGGGAAGGGGAAGGAAGAAGAGGCGGAGATGGGACGTTGGGAGGTGCGAGGGGGGGTACAGGGTACAGGAGAGGTGAGCGAGGTTGCTGCTGCTCCTGCTGCTGCTCCTGGTGCTGCCTGTGTTGCTGCGCCTGTCACTCCCCGTATTGGAGTTTTCTGCGACACTCCTCCTGCTCCTGATTTCGTTCCTTCTCCCTCCCCACCTACTGCTGCTGACCTGTCCACATCGGCACTAGCACTGCAATCCAGTGGCTCCAGCCACGTCAGCGCCAGCTGTCTGCATGGGATTGGCTGCACGACCGCCTGTTCACCATGCGCTTGTGGGGAACTTAGGCTCAGATTCTGTTGCCGTCCAGCCTTGAGAGTGAAGACATAAAGGCGCGTGCTTTCCTCCGGGCGGCCTAGGCTGTCCGCTAGCTGCCAAGAGAGGCGGCAGCAGGATTTGGGAATCTTCGGCGCCGGCCACACGGTGGCCAACGCGCAGTACAGCCCGGGTAATCGGGCGGCGATTGCCGGCCAATCAGGACGCTGCGTCCAATCAGGTGTTGCCAGCTGTAGAGCCTCCTGTGCCAACTGGAGCGGCGGGATTGGCTGCGCGGAATGGGAATCGCTGCACACCACCTGATTGGTGGATTAGGGAAAACGGTCGAAAGAGGAACAGAGGGAGGGAGACAGGGAGGGGGAAGGGGGAAAGGAGTTGGGGGAGGGGGAAGAAGGTGAGGTGGGAAAGGTTGGGAAAGGAAGAGACGGAGGGGCGGGAGGAAAAGATTCGGGTGGATGATTCAGGCGAACGTTCCAAAGCCGTGCATAAGCCCCAAACCCTGGACCCTGAATCTGAGACTCAATAGCCCCTCTGCCCTTGAGATAACCAGTACATAGCGGCTGAATGAATTGGATCCGCCGACGGCAAGTAGATGTTCTCGAAGGGCCTTACCGCGACCATGTCGCCCGCGGCCACGTCATCAGCCGTCATCGCTGCAGGGTGGAGCCATATCTGGGCGGCTGCTGAAGTGTCTCGGGCTGCCACGTCATCTATTGCGGATATTTTCACGTCGAGTCTCTTTCCGCCAAACAAGTCGTCGAAGCACGCGGGCATTTGCGCATTCGACGAGAATTCGGCGCGGGACGCGGAAGGGGAGCTAGCAGCATTGCGGGAAGTTTGAGGGGACTGTGCTGGCGAGGGAGATTCAGTAGCCTTCTTGCTTTTCCCTTTCGACTTGCCTCCCATTTTCTCTCAAACTTCTGTTTCGTTACCGATGGCTAAGAAATGGGAAAGCTGCTACAGATTAGGGACGATAGGGCTCGTGGGCATGTAAGGTATTTGTTTCGGGGATAGTCGCCACGTTGTTTGAAGGCATATAAGAAATACATATAATTACTACATTGAAGTGTACTTCGTGGACTACCGAATCTCCACAACCGGATCGCAGATGGAAAGACCAGGCCAAACCACTTCTCCGAGGCTGACGTAAAAACCCAGTCGAGTTTGTAGGCCCTTCGGGGACCCAATCAGGTGCTTGGAAATTTGGCTTACGAATTTGCCAGGGGTTCAGAATAGTTTCTTAACTGACCGCACCTCAGGTGTAGTTGTGCTTGCTTGGTTTGGTTCGGTCAATTTGGGTTCCCAACTATGCCAATACCCACTGCTCGCATTGATGCTGATGAGATATTCCAGAGGTGCTACAGTGAACAAGGAAAAATTACCATGAAAAATGAATGAAAATAAATGAACAGCTACACCTTTGACTGTCTGGTGTGCTTCGTTTCCTTTTTTTCACGGCCAGCGGCGACAGCTCGCTTGAGCACCCCGATGTGTCCTGGAGGTCATGAAGCCAAACCCAAACCTAGCCAGATGCCGAACCATTTTCTACGGCTCGACATGGGGCGCACCGCCAATACCACCGCCTAGCTCATGCCAAGCCTGGACCGAACGAAAGAAGAATCTGTCTGTCACGCACTTGCCCCCAGCTTCCCCCGCCACAGGTTAGGCGCGGAAACCAAACGCCCATCCCCCCCTCCCTCGCGCAGTTCCTCCAACCCGGACTGTGGAAGAATCTATTCGGCCCCGTTTTTGCTCCCGCAATTTCCGCTCCGTAGCAGTCTCTTATTCCGTTCGACCACAGCGGAGGTAGATGCGTTGGCGGCTCCTCAAGGCATGCTTTCATGGCCTTCTTATAGCGAACCATGTAACCAGGCCGGTAATCTGACACGAAAGTAGACCAAGCATGAAGTGCAGTCACCAGTTTCGATAGTCACGGTTCCCATAATTTGCGTAGCGCAGTCTAAGGTCTAGTGCTACTCTGGGCTTGAGCCCGCTAAGGCTCTACATACCCTCGTTTGTTTCTTCCTCTAACCCGCATTTCTTGCGCCACGTCAACCGTCCAATATGGTACTCGCGGCAACGAATGTCACCAGCAGCCCTGCTCCCCCGCCGCAGTTCCAGCCTCCCCCGCCTTCCCCGCCTTCCCCCGACAATGCGACGTCGCCCGCGACCATCGCATACGAATCCGTCATCTCTCTGCGACAGCTCAACATCGCAGTCGTCGCCGTGCTCATCCTGCTCGTCATCCTCGTTTTAGTCCTCTCCTTTGTAAAGGCGCGTGCCACGTGGCAGCACCAGAGAGCCGCCACGCAAGATCCCGACCCGCAGGCCCTGCAGCCAGTGGGGAACCGCGGGTTGCTCATGGACGGCCGGAATATGCGCTCCGGCGTGCCCGACCACATTATTAAGACGCTCGGAAAGTCTTTTACGTACGTCGAGCCGGGAGATGACCTTGAAGCTGGCGGGACCAGCGCCCTTGGCGGAGATGGGGGAGGGGGAGCTGAAGAACGTGGGGTGGGCGGAGGCGGAGTGGGGGAAGGCGGAGCTCTGGGGGCGAGCGGGAGAAGCAGCAGCCGAAGGTCGGCTGCGGCGGAAGCGACGGGCGGAGAGAGTGAGGGGAACGGCGCGGGGGGGAGAGCGGGGCGGGAGGAGGGGGACGACGAGAAGGAGTGCATTGTGTGTTTGGGGGAGTACAAGACTGGTGACGTCATCAGACAGCTTCACGCATGCAATCACCAATTCCACCAGGTGTGTCTGTGTGAAAGAGAAGGAGAGAAAAGAGAGGGTGTGAGGGAGAAAGAAAGATAGCGCGACAGCGGAGAGAGGCTGCAAGAGAGAGGGAGGGAGAGAGGGAAAGGAAGGAAGGGAGGGGATGGGGAGTTTGGGGGTAGGAGGGAGAGACAGGGGGAGGGAGAAAGAACAGAGAGGAGAGAGCGTGGTGAGTTCTTGCAATATTTTCTCTTCAGGATCTTGTGGATAGCAGGGATGCAGTAAGGCATGCGCAACAGAATTGCTCTCCACCCGCCCCCATCCTCAACCATAATGCTGTTCCCAGCTCTCCTCCATCACTCTGCAATACCGTCAATATTCTCTGAACTTCACTCACCTGCTCCTCTCCCTCCCCTTCCCTCGTCCCCCCTCCTCCCCTCCTCCTCGTCCCCCCTCCTCTCCTCCTCTGTCGCCTGCCCTCAGGACTGCATTGACGCATGGCTTAAAACCAACTCCTCCTGCCCTCTCTGCCGAACCTCCCTCATTCCGAGCCGCCTGCTGGGAAACAACCAAAGCAATCTCAGCGACATTCCAGAGCAGCAGGGGATGCATGGAAGCGTGGTACGTAATGGCCAGGGCGGTGTTTTGTCGGAGCCTGTGGGTATGACGCCATTCGGTTCAGCAATGCCCCTTCTGCCTCGTGAGGGTCCTAGCCGCCTGGCTTATATCACCATTCCCTCTCCGCCGTCTGCCGCTGTTCAGTTGACCCAAGTGGGTGAAGCTGCGCCGGTTGCTCCGGCGTCGTATCAAGTGCGTGTTGCAGGGTCTATGTTGCCTACGTCATAACGTTGTGAGTGTTGATAGTAGCTAGCTCCACTTGTTAAGCAAGCTAGCAACCAATGTGTTCATATGTAATGAATGGTGTATTCCTCAATTCGCTAAATTTTTCTAGTAAGGTGTTTCGCCAATGTCTTGGATTGCTTCACGATCAACCACGAAAACCTCACGCTAGCACCTCGCACGGCGCCAGTTGCGGCAGTTTGCGAATTCGTTTGAACATTTGCGCGCCTCGCAATGGGCTAAAGAAATTTACAACCACCGTGTTGCATTTCGCTAGGCCCATCCAATACCTTCTCCACTACATGGATCGACCCACCCTCCAACCAAAACATCTCTTCACTTCCCCGTGGGTGACCCGTCGCCTCGCTCATGTTGCTTCTCTTCCGCACATACCCTCAAAGCTGCATGATTAGTAAGAAGAAAACCCATTCTTCGCTCAGGGAGCGATAACAATTTTAGCATTCTCTCTGCCTACAGGAGCTGGATGATTTCCGACTACGAGGCCATAGCGGAGGAAGCCGAAATGCACGTATATTTTGACCCATGCCCCGTCAGCTTCTCCTAGCGCCTCTGGTAGAACTTCCTTTACTCCATTGCTACCCGAGCGCGTGCCGTAGTACGTCAAGATCGTTAAGAGCTAGGACGCGGAACGGATTTCACCTTAATTTATCCCGGATCTATACGTGGTGTTTGTTCGCACTGTTGGCCCTGCTGCCCGTCGCGTGTTGCGCTGCCACTCTGCCACCACATGTTCGTGATCGGATTCGCGCGCGCCCATATTTGATCCATCGAGCAACTTCATCCGGTGCTCTAGAACCGCTCCAGGACGCGCGACCATCGCGTGCGCCTGTTTCGCTGCCTGCGTCAGTCGCGACGCGGGCACTGACTAAAGATCGTGAGACGGTTTCGAATAGCATCGCCTTCGCCAGCGACGGTTACAGCATCAGCAATAACAACGGCGTCGACGTCAGCAGCGGAGCCGATGACGGTAGCGTCAGCAGCGGCAGTAGCGGCAGCAGCAGCAGCAGCACCACCAGCAGTAGTGTTACCGGCAGTTACGATTACCCAAACAACAGCAGCGACGGTCAGCGCGACGACCAGCACAAGCCGCGGTACTACAACCCGTTGAACCGCCTCGTCCCCCGTTCCGCGCATCTCCCCGACGAGTGCGCCTTCGCGCTCCCCATACCGCTCCACCAATGCGCGCTCGGCTACAGCCAGGCCGCCCGGGGCGGGTACGGACGGGCGGAGTACGTTGTCTCGTCCGACGACGACAGCCTGACGCATGGTACGCTGCGGTGGGGTTTAGTGCGGTACCGAGCGGTTGGAGTATACGTGCGGTTTAGCCGGAACATGGAGATCAGGTTGAGGGGGCCGCTGCGGTTGGGGTCGCACGTGACATTGGATGGGCGCGGCGCGAGAGTGCGAGTCGCTGGCGGCGCGGTGGTTATTCGAGGGTCCAGGAGTATTATCATCCACAACTTGCAACGTGAGTTGCTGCTGCTCCTATTCTCTTCAACTATCTCTTCCCCCGTTTGGGCTGCATCCGCCAATCGCCGAATCTTTTTAGAGCTTCTCTTTTGTGGCCTTTTCCTCTGCTGTCAAGTGAAGCTGAACAGTGCTAAGCTGCTTTACATTACTCGCCTTGCACACTCCCCCACTTGCACTATACATCCAGCTGCCTTGGCTCCCCACAATATCCCTTTCGCCTTTCTGCGCACGCCCCTCACTCCCCCTCCCCCCCCACCTCTCTCTTTCCCCCTCTTTTCCCCTATTTATACCTCTTAACTCTCTCCCTTTCCCGCCCTCCCCTCCTCACCTGTTGCCCAAAATCATCAGTTGCTGACGTTCCTCGGTCGCTGTCAGCACCTCAGAATCTGATCTCCATCCGAGCGTCTCACGACATCTGGATCGACCACTGCACACTCCAATCTTCGCCACGTGCCCTCATCTCCGTCTCCCGCTTCTCCACTAATATCACCATCTCCAATAGTCACCTCCGTAACGGCGGCGACGCAATGATTACCGTCACACCTCTCCTCCCGCCTCCCCTTCCCCCTCCGACCTACCGTCGTCCTGTCTACGTCACAGTTTTCCGGAACTTTTTCAACGGGCCGGGCAGCCCGGATGTTTTATGTGCGGGTGCGATGTGCCACGTGGCAAATAATCTCTTCGCTGGTTGGTTGTTTGGGTGCCTGGCTGCTAGGGGCCCTGCTCCTGGATGGATTGAAGAAGCAACTGTAGGTGGTAACAGTAGCTACACGAGCGCTGGTTATGGGGAAAGTGACTATATAGAAGGTGATTATGAAGCAGTGTATACAAGTACAGAAGGCGCTACAGCTGTGGGTACAGCTGCAGAAGAGGCAACAACAGTGGCTACAGCAGCAACTAGTTGGAGAAAGGGAAGAGGTTATGGACTGACAGTCATCCGTTCTCAATCCAATATTTTTCTCCCTGGGGTTGGGGTGCAAGCTACAGTCGCAGATTGGACTGACTCTAAGTCCAAAATATTTTCTAACAGGGATTTGTTGGTAAATGGAGCTTATATGGGGAAGACACGGGAGATGGGACGGGGTGGAGGAGAGGCAGCAGCCTCGGTGGTGCGGGGGAAGAAGGACCCTTTTGTTCCATACGTGTTGCCTCTGAAACCAGTGAGTTTGAGTCTTGCATCGTATATCAAGGGCAACTCTGGTGTAAAATCTATGAATTAAATGTTGTTTGGCAACCTTCTTTCTTTCATCAGCCACTACAATCTGATTAATGTGGAGCTTTGCCAGAAATTACCTCCACTATCTAGAGCCTCGTTCAGGGAGGTCTTACCCAGTCAATATAACACCACCAACCAGTGGTGCTTGTTGTTGGAAACAATAAGTCCTAAGTGCGCTTCTGTCGTATCAAAATCCAAGGTACCAAGCGAAGCAGTCCCAATCGAAGCATCGAGTCAACCTCGGAGGTTAGGGTAACCGCCTGGAGGTTACGAGAAAGTCAAAGGTCGCTGACCTTTGACTCGACAATTACAGCGCGACAGTTAAGGACACACAACTGACTCGTTACAGAGCAGTTGCCCGAGTCGCGCTATATCGAACCGCAACAGCAATACAGTTATCTATCTATTCCCTGTACTCTTATATAAATCCTTGTATTTGCTTGTTTAATTCAATCAACTTTGCTCTCACACACCAGTGCAAGGTCGGTTCAAATTCTTCACTAAACGCTTCCGCTATTACAACTACTTCACCTAGAGTTATCCCTTGCAAAGATCCTAAGGGGCTATCTCAGCCCAACATGGTATGAGAGCAGACAAGGGAAACTCTACTCTTTTTTCAATATCATTACAAGACATGGCAACAAACAAGGAAAGGAGCTCCCCTAATGGCTCCTCGGGCACTACTCCTACTCCACCGTCAGCCTCTGGCCTGCAGACAGAAGAAGGCACGGCAACAAGACCAAGAGGAACGTCAACCGAGACCCCCATGAACCACCCTTCGGACTTTGACCAGAACATGATGGAGAAAATTTTCTCCTTCATGTCCTTCTACGAACAACACCAGCAGTCGGGACCTGCACAAACACACAACAGCAACAACGGAGCGACACCCATGAGTCTTGATGGGTCGTCATATGCGCGAGGAAACCAGCAGCAGCAACCTACCTTTGCTCCGTACGAGCGCGGGTCAATCAGCTTCGTGCCCCACCCGCAACCTTCACCTGGACAAGAAAGACCACTGGACGCACTTCAAGTTCAGTCGCAGTTTGCACACGTCTTAAAACTGCAAACGTCAAGACCCTTCGACGGCAAAGACTTCTTTACCTGGTCCTTTGAATTCGAGCTGATGATGGAGGGCGCGCAGATACTCGGCTTCTTCGACGGGTCCCTGCAGTATCCAGCCAACGGGACACAATATGAAAAGCAGCAGTATACGTATCAATCAATGATGGCGTATACAATCCTATTGAGGAATGTGACACCAACTCAGCAGCAGAACATTCGCTCTTACCGGACCTTCGGCAACTCGGCGGAGCTCGCGTACAGCCATCTGAAGAACCTGTATCAAGCAACAGACAGTGTAAACCAGAGCAGGTTAATGGCGCAGTTGACGACAGTCGAAATGAAACCAGGAGAAAAAGGACTGGCGTATATCAGCCGATGTCGCGAACTGCGCGACAAGCTGCTTCGATGCGGAGGGTCAATCTCTGAAGACGCCTTCGTGACAGTCATCATTGGTGGGCTTGGTCCTCAGTGGCGCGCCACCAAAGCCATTCTTCGAGCCCACGGAAGAATCTCTGAAGCTGCACTCTGCGCCGAAATACATGCCGAGCAGCAAGATATGGACCTGCAGGAAGAACGACACAGGAAGAAAACGACAGTATCAGAGTTCGCATTCCACACTCAACGACGACACAGCAATTATAACAACCGACAGCAGCAACCGAAGATAGTACCTCCCTTCTGCCACATCTGCAAGACTTCAGGGCACCCGCGCACACACTGCCCGAATCGTCAGCAATCAACGGCACCACAGCGACAACTTCGACCTTCAAGCTCCCAAATGGCTTCAACACAAGCAAGTGCGACGACCACTATTCAAGCTTCAACGACTTCACCCGGACAACCTGCACAAGGAGCAAGAAATATAATCAACTGCATGACGAAGATAACCGATTCATGTACAACCGAATCACCACCACACTACTCACCGGAAGAAGAGCTTGACAACAGAACGCCTCGCCGTGAGCTACTCCAGCCGAATCCAACGTACGCCGCCATCGCTCAAAGTGAACCGTCCGGCCAAGACACCTGGTTCTTGGACAGTTGCTGCGGGCAACACATGTGCTCGTCCGGGCGTTTCGTACAACGCGAACATCGACTCCAACGGGAAGTGATCATCACGGTTGCCAACAACCAAAACCTGCGCACACGAAGACAAGGAGTGGTACAGCTTCAGTCAAGAGAAACAAATGTCATACTGCACATGTCTAAGGTACTCATCGCTGAAGGACTCGGC